ATTCTTGTTTTTTCTTCAGGCAGACCGATTACTTTTTTCCAGCCGTGAGTCCATCTGGGCGTTCTGGTTCCGAAAAAGCCTAATTGTGGGATTCCATTCCACTGATCCATGCTATGAGTCTCCTTCAAGGTTGAACCCACCACGCTGACGAGTCCCAGAAGCCACAGGTGGCCTGCAATTCTCAATCGCCTCCACCTTACGGTTAAGCTCGTAAACCAGACGATTCAAAGTTCCCACAGCGAGGACCAAGCCTTCACACTGACTCGGTTTACCATGGTCGAAACTGCTGCCGCCGTCTGCTTCAAAAGTCGATAAAACAGAGCCCCGCCGATGCCAAAAAGCAGAGTCCCTGCTATCATAAATCCAAATATATAAACGTCTTCAACATCCTCCTGAGACAGGACAGAGAGACACATCATCTGCCACACTCCCCACAAATCCATGACGTACCCCACAGCGTGAGTCTCAGCTGGACACGCCAGTTCTCCAGGACCTTGTTGCTTTGATGAAAAAATCTTATCAATAGAGTTGAACGCCCACAATACCAAATCCATAATCTTCTTAATTTATGTTTGGGAGATGAAACCCAGGCGCTTCAGACAGACAGAGAGCAGAGCAGGAGGAAGGAAAAACGGGGGAGGAAAAAAACAAGCTGCCACCTCGATGAGAGCCTGGGAGGAAAAAATAAATAAATAAAGTACTGTGCAAAAGTTTTCAGTCATCTTGACCTAAATGTATCTGGTGTCAACAACAAAAAACAAAAGTGGATTTAAAAAAGTTTATTTAGATCCATTTAAACATCTGTCAGAAGAATCGATCAGCTCTCACGATGAGCAATCATCTTTAGAGTTAGACAAAGGATAAAGACGTTTGACCCAGTTTGGTTCTGAAGTCTCAGCTTCAGCTGCTGCTTCGGCTCGCTCTGAGGTTGAAGTGTAAATCTGATAAAGTATTGAGCAGTTTTTATATTGATCAGGTTGTTATTTATGGTAAATGGTAAATTGACTGTACTTATATAGCACCTTTCTATCTTATCAAGATACGCAAAGTGCTTTACAAAACAATCTGTGTCCTCATTCATACAGCACTCTAATACAAAGCTAATTGAACAAATAATTCTAAAGAGACTAATCAGAGCTTTATCACATTCATACACCGATGGGACACACATCGGTTCAGTGTCTATCACCTCTGAAAACTCAAAGGGAGGTATCCTTCATGGATCAGAACTCTAGATTCTGAGTCAGGAACTAATCCTGTTAGAAAAATAATTTTCTGATGCAAGAAAACTGAAAAAAAAACCAGCTGAAGGAACAACAACAACAACAACAACAACAACAACAACAACAACAACAAAGGTCATGAATTATGAAAAAGACAACAAAGGTCATAAATGACGAAAAATACAACCAAGGTCACAAATAATGAAAAATACAACAAATATCAAATGATGAAAGAAACAACAACAAAAGTCATGTATGATGGAAAAAACAACAAAGGTCATAAATGATGGAAAATAAAACAAAGTTCATAAATGGTGGAAAAGACAACAACAAAGGTCATGACTGATGGAAAAGATAAAGTTCATAAATGATAAAAAAAAGAACAGCAACAAAGGTCATGACTGATGGAAAATACAACAAAAGTCATAAATTATGGAAAAGACAAGAACAAAGGTCATGACTGCTGCAAAAGACAACAAAGGTCATATATGATGAAAAAGAACAACAACAACAACGGTACAAATTGTGTAAAGGACTACAGCAAATGTAAAAAATTATGGAAAACACAACAAATGTCAAATTATGGAAAAGAACAACAAAGGTCATAAGTGATGAAAAAGAAAAGAACAAAGGTACAAATTATGTAAAGGACTAGAGCAAATGTCGTAAATGGAAAAGACAACAAAGGTCATTACTGATGGAAAAGATAAAGATCATGAATGATGAAAAAGAACAACAACAAAGGTCATTATGGAAAAGAACAACAAAGGTCATGACGGACAGAAAGTACAAAGGTCATAAATGATGGAAAAGACAACAAAGGTACAAATTATGTAAAGGACTGCAACAAATGTCATAAATGATGGAAAATACAACAACAAAGGTCATGACTGATGGAAAATACAACAAAGGTCATAAATAGTGAAAAAGAACAACAACAAAGGCCATGAATTATGGAAAAGAACAACAACAAAGGTCAGGAATGATGGAAA